CCTTCTGGGTTCTGCAGCAACTGAAATGAAGAATAACCTTTAAAATTCCATTCATAAAGGTCTTCCCTCTTGTGTTGCTAAATGTAATAAAGGAATGTTACGTAAATGGTTTTGTCTACACATGGGCAGCCACAGAGGAGTAGAGAGGAGTGGGAAACCAGTGTGGAGCTGGGAACAATCCTGATTATCTTTTCTTTTGGAGTGCATTTCATTAAACCTGGAGTTGTTCTGGATTGTGGCTTCAGAAGCATCTGTTTATTCACCTGAGATGTGTCCCTGACTGATTCAGCTGTGTGCATTTCTGTCTGCAGCACATGATTTTCTTAAAATAATAACTGCCATTTGCCTTCCACTGAGGGAGTGTGGTGTGGCCTTGAAATTTACTTTTGAAGGACTCACCGAGTAACCAGGGACTTCTTCACAATTAAATCTTTAATAAGGTCAGAATTCCTATCTTCAGGGTGCTGCATAAACACTAATTTTCATAATCCCCCTGTGGATAGTGAGAGCAAGTATTGTCCCCATTTTCCTGTTGGTAAAACTGAGAATGAGGCAGAAATCCTTCTCAGAGGCTGCAGAAGAGACGAGGGTCAGAGTTCAGAAGTGCCTGGTTCTTGGCCCCTCACTGCCTGTGCTTCCCAGGGAGTGCTGGCTGTGCTGGGAGGGATCCATAGGCAGTGACAAGTGTCACTTTGCACAGCAAACAGGAGTATTTCCAGCTGGCTGACACTGCCCCTGTGTGTGGGCAGCTGAGGAGGAGTTTGCCCAGCCCTGATAACCTGGTTATGCAGTAACTGAGAGTGCTGAACGTTCCAAAGGTCAGGAGCCTCTCGCTGCTCTTTGGCCACTGACCACACATCAATCCAAGGGCAGTGCCTCTGTCAGTGTCTGCTGGGAAGTCCTGGCTGGGTGTTGGGAGTGCTGCTGCTGAAGATCACAGAGGTTGTTACAGGCACTGCTTGTCCCCTGAATTCCCTGCAGTTCCCTCAGTGTTCTGCAGCTGCAGTTCACGTCCCCATCTGGAATTGTTTCCACCTCTCAACAGGGAGAGAAGATGAGTCTGCTGTGGAGTAGGATCCTCCTGCCTTTGATAAGGTTTAGGGAAATTCTGAAAGTGCCACACGCTGTCTGCACCCTCGTGGGATAAAGTCTGTTCCTGGCAGTGTCCAAGGCCGGGCAGGACTGGGATAGTGGAAGGTGCCCGTGCCCATGGCAGAGTTTGGAATAAGTGATCTTGGAGGTCCTTTCCCAGATCATTCTGTGATTCTATGATTATATTTATGCCTAAGTCTTTTGTTTCCCTTTCCCTCAGCTCGTAGAAGATGACCCCTGGCCACGACTGAACTCTGCCGAGCCCATTCCTCCCCTCCTGCACAGCAACATGCTCTCAGAAAAATACCTGGAGCTGCCAAACGAGATTGCCAAAAGCAGTTTACCTTCTTCAGGAGGAACCCCGAAGGATTCAGCGCCCCAGGAGGAGAAGTGCAGCAAAGCCCTGGCTTTGAGGCTACAGGAATCCTACAGCAATGGTTTATCTGTCAACCTCTCCCCTTCCAACTCAGCCAACTCAGGCACGGACCAAAAAGCCTTCAAGGTGTCCCCTAACGGCGCAAGCAAGGCGCAGGACGCGGAGAGGACGCCGCCGGCCAGCTTTAAGCGGACACTGGAGGAATCCAACTCGGGCCCGGCGGTGAAGAAGCCGCGGCGGGGGCCGGGCCGGGGCCCGGGCGAGGGCGCGGCCGGCCCGCAGCGCCGCAGCCCGGCCAAGCTGGCCATGAGGCGCAGCCTCCGCGGGCAGAAAAAGCTCAGCAGCTCCTTGTTCCACCCGCCCAGGAAAGCCGTGTGCGTCTGCTGAGGAGCTCTGCGGGTGGCTGCGCGAGTTTGGAGCTCTTCCCGGTGATTTTTCTTTTTTAAAAGTAGGAACTTTTTTTGGTATCCGACAGCTTTATCCCAGCCTTGTACTTGCTTGTATTATAACTGTGAATTTTGTAGATGTGTAGGGTATAAGTCACTGTAAAATGTGTGTAAATTTGTATTCCTTCATATAAATGTAGTCTCTTTTCTTCCTTGTATAATTGTTACTGCGGGGCTAAGCCTTGTTTTAAAAAAAACAAAAACAAAACAAAAAGTAAAATAATCCTTTTTGTTAATTTACTAAAGTCATCAATTTGTATACTTTTGCTTCTTGTGAGGAGAATTTCACAACTTTTTAACTAAAGTAAATTATTAAACAGAATGGAAGATATGTATTTTCGTAGTCTGATACGTTCCACCTAAAGTGTGTCTTTTAGAGAATACACTAGGTCTATATTTTGGTTTTAAATTTTAGATTTCTCTACTCAGAAATGAAATGTATGTGGAAGCAGAGATTTGAGTCTTGCTTTACACACCTCAATGTCGATTTTATGTTAATTAAAATACTATGCAGTATCTTATTTAGTTGTATTTTTTGTAACAATAATCGTCAAAAGTATTTAGCAAAAAAAAGTGTGTTTTAAAAACTCCAACTCCCCAGAGCATCCAACAAAGCCATTCCCATCCCCTGTTCCAAATGATGGCATTTTATCCAGGCATCACTGCCCCCCTGAGATGTGTTTTCTGCTATTCCAATACTGATGGTGCTGCTAATAACCTTTCAACACAAGTTCTTAAATTATTTTATGACTATTTTCATTGGCTATGTGGACCATGTGTATGTTCACCTCAATAAAACACATGAAAATTTGATGGGGATGCTTTTTATTTTTTTAATTTTTATTTTAAGCTTAAGTTCTGGTGTTTATTCAGAAGTGAAATGTGAATACTAAAAATATTCATGTTTATCTGGTATTCATTAAATATCTGAATGCTCTCCCCTTTCTCACTGTGGCTTAGGAAACAAGAGATCCCAGTTAGATTTATGACAGAATTGATCTTGGCACTTTATCCTGAATGTTTAACTGTAGCAATATATTAAATTTTAAAAATTTTATTTTGATGGGAAAGCAAGAGGGCAGTTCTTTATTCCAGGATGGTTATTTGTAGAACCCAGTTCTTTACTGCTGGAACAATAAAAGCCAGGTTGGAACCAGGCCTGCCATCTATAAGTGTTACCATGGTTACAGAAATCCCAGGGGATTTTATTCCTGAAAATATTCCCTTTCATCCATGCTGGGAACACAGCGCTGCCTTAGGAGATGAAAGAAACAGCCTGTCCAAATTGCATCCTGCAAGGATTTATTTCTGTGGATGTGGGGAGTAACTTCAGTCCATAAAGTTGTGCTGTGATGTTGAAATTCTGCCCCAGATGGGGAGGAAAGGCTGCAGAGGCCACAAGTGCGTGTGGCAACTGCCTGGCAACAACAATAATTACCTGTTTTCAATTAGCTTGCATTGAACCTTCCAAGGAGTGACTGTAACACCTCGCTTAGATGACTGTATTACTGCTTGCAAGGGAAGTATGCAAAAGAAAAAAGATTTATAGTGAATTTCCCAGGGTTTTTGCTCTACACAAAAGCAAAATTTAGGTTTCCGTAGAATTCTGCAGCACTCAGAAATGTGAGCCTCATTCAGGTTTTCTCAAGCAGTTGTAAACTTGGGCTTCTCCACATTTTGGCTTTTCTTTTTTACTCTTAATAAATTAATCCAACCCTACAATTTTTCCTGGGGAAGCTGCTGGAGGATGGTCAGGATTAACTGCACTGGCAGCAGTTTACTCCTGCCTATACTTCGCCCACCTCTTTTCTCATTTGACTTCTCTGAAATGAATATTCAAAGCTGAGACAGGGGAATTTACACCCGGTAAGTTCACAGAGGCTCCTTTGGTAAGATCAAACCCGAGTTCCAACTTTTTCTTGCGAAATAAAGCTGTGATCTGTGCAAACCTGCTCCTAGGCACTTTGTGAATGTTTTCAGTCACTGTTTCATTCTTCTGGTATGTGGATGATGGTGTTGTCACAGGAGTCAGGTGCATTCCCAGAGCAGGTCACCCCCTCCTGACCTGGTGCCACTGTCTGGAAACCTGAACCAGTGCCCCGTGTGTCACCCTGAGGCACCTGGGCACTGCTGGACACCTGTAAACATAAATCACACACTGGGCTGGGCTGGAGGAGAACTTAAACATCACCCATGAGCGGGGACACCTCCCACTGTCCCAGGCTGCTCCAAGCCCGTCCAACAAGTGTCCAAGGCCTTGGACACTTCAGGGATGGGGCAGCCACAGCTGCTCTGGGCACCCTGTGCCAGGGCCTCACCACCCTCACAGGGAATAATTTCTTTCTATAATCAAAATCTGCCCTCTGGAAGTAGCCATACCCTGTGTCCTGTCACTTCAGGCCCTTGTCCAAAGTCTCTCTCCATGGCTCTTGGAGCTCCTTTGGGGCTTTTGAGGCCGCTCCTCAGCCGTGTCTCCAGCGCTGCCACAGCACCCGAGCTCTGAGGGGCAGCAGCTCCAGAACCTGCGCTGTCCCTGAGCTCTGCAGCCTGGAGACGCTCCAGCTGGGGGATGCCTCGGCCCCGTGGCCTTTCCCCCTTGCCGGGACTGCCTGCCTGCGGCGTTCTGCCCCTCAGGCTCCCTCACGATCCCTCACGATCCCTCACGGTCCCTCAATGCCCCTCAGGCTCCCCCATGATCCCTCATGATCCCTCACGATCCCTCACACCCCCTCACGATCCCTCACGGCCCCGCCCATCAGACCCCGCCCCAAGTGACGTCACCGCGGGGGCCGCGCCCCTCCCCGCCAATCCGGCCCCGCCTCTCCCTCCCGCCCCTCCCCGCCCCACGTGCTCGGGGCCGGCCCCGGCGCGCGGCGGCTCTCGCGAGATCCCCGATGTAAACAAAGCCGCGGGGCGCGCGGCGGGGGGGGCAGCGCCGCCCGCCTTTCGCCGCCCCGGCCGCGTCCCGCCGCGCCCCGCCCACGGCAGCGGCCGGAGCGGGGGGCGGCGGGCAGGGCAGGCCCGCCCGTGAGGCCTGGGGGACCCCCGGCAGCTGAGGCCGGAGGGCGCGGGGTGCGGAGCGAGGGGCGGCCGGCGGGGTGGGCGCGCTCCGGGAAGGCCGCGGCCCCGCTCACCGGGCGGCGGCGGGAGAGAGGCCGGGCAGGTCGCGGTGTTCGGTGTGGAGTTGCTCAATAGCGGCGGCGGAGGGTGCCCAGGCCGCTGCCGGGGCTCCGGAGGGTCGGGCGGCCCCGCAGTGCCCCGAGCTGAGGCGCGGCCGTGCCGAGGCCCAGAGCCGCAGCTGAAACCGGCCCCGGTGCTCGCTTCCCCTCGGGCCGGGGAGGCACAAGGGGCTGGCACTGAGGGCACGGCAGGGGCGGGTGTCCGTGGGGTGATTTCATCCTTTCCGTGACATTTCGCCTTTCAAGGTTCCTCAAGGCGTGTGTCAGGCTGCTGTTGTGTTGCTGAATGTTTTGTTATTAATTGTTATTTTGCTGTCAGTTCCTGAGTGGTTGTCCTGCCTCCCTTAATGGGCTGGCCCTTGTAGAGTCTGGCCTGACGTGGAATGATGCTGATAACTGATACCACCGTGGGGATTTGTCTTTTTCTTTTACTTAGTGAGCAGGTTTGGGGTGGGGGGACACCACAGAGCAGCTGAGGGGGTTCCCTGAAGAGCTGGCTGGGATCTGGGCTGCTCCTCAAGTGCTTTCTGCCTTTAGGAATGTCACACAGACTTTTCCCCTGGAGAACAGCAGTGTGAAGGCAAGCTTGAGGATAGCACAAAAAGCTGACATAAAGCAGGAGAATGTGTGAGCTGCAATGGAACCCATGTTTTCAAGAGTACAGTGCGCTGCAATTGTGACTGCACGTTATTTTTACATAATTGTTCTCTGAGACAGCAGCCCATTAGGAAATAGTGGGTTTGTGTAATGGTGATGACAGCTGTCTACCTGTACCACTATCTTTACTCATGGAATCATAGAGTGGTTTGGGTTGGAGGGCTCCTTAAAGATCATCTAGTGCAGTTTGAGATAATTTTCCCCTTTATCATGCAGCTCTGTGGGGTTTGTTTTTTTATTTTCACAAACATTCCAGGAGCTGCAGTGATTGAAGGAGTTGCCCGCTTCGTGCGTGATCTTTTCTCCTCATTAAAAAAAGTGCTGTAAAGAGGCCTGCGGGCCTGTGTAAGTGAAATTCCTCTCTTCCCACCTTGAAGAACACGTGAAGAGCTTGTGCAATGAGCAGTCCTGTGGAGATGTCAGTAAAGGTGCTGTGTTTGTTGCAGGTGTGAGCCCGGAACGATGGCCGCAGAGTCGCCGCGCCGCCCCAGCCGCTGCACGGGAGGAGTGGTGGTTCGCCCTCAAGCTGCCACGTAAGAACCTTCTAGAAGAACAGCCCTTACTGAAAAGGGTTTGCTTTTCTTGTGGAAGAAGCCCAGCCTGAGCTGGTTTGGGTTTTTTCCCCCCAAAGCCAGCTTGTGTTGGCGCTGCACTTTGCTGCGTTGAGCGTTGTGCGGTGAAGTCAGCGCGTGGCATTTCTGTCTCCCTGAGTGGGATCCCATCCTTGGCCACTGCACACCAAAGCTGTGTATTTAAAAGCTAATTGCTGCAAAGTTTTGTTGTTGTTTGCACCATTTTGCTGTACAAACATTGCAATGTAGAAGAGTGATGCCAAGTTCTTCCTTAGGCCACAGGGCTGTGCCACGTGTGATCCCTTCTTTTAAACAACACCTTGTCCCAGAGTGGATATATTAAAGCATATAAAACTTGTCATTAAAGTCCTCCAGGAAGAAGAATTGTGGATTTTTTTTTTTTTTTTATATTAAAAGAATCAAACCAAGGAAAAAGGAAGAAGCTCCATCCTTCTGGTCAGAGCACCTGACAAACACTTTTTGTGCCTGGGCATCCTGATTTTCACTGTGTGCACACGGGAATGCTTTCATGGCCAAAGAGCCTTTTGGCTGTAAGGCAGCCTAGAAGATTTATGGTCTTTGTCTGTTAAAGGAGTTTTGTAGCAATTTTTCTTCCTTGGGATGTTTATGCTGCTGCAAAATGGCACTGTGTGGAAATGTCCACTTCAGGGGGTGTTACTGTGCCCTTGGAGACAACTCTGTGTTTCCAGATAAAAGATTCACTTCATTTTTATTGAAGATCACAAGAAACTGATTGTTGTAGCACAAAAAGTTGTGTTAGAACTTTGTCCTGCAGCCATTTTTTTAAACGTGGCAAAATTCCTCAACAAATGCCTTTCCTCTCTGTAACAACATTTTCTTCAAAATGTGCTTTAAAAGTATTACAGTAGAAAAACACTGTAAGGAGTTGATTGTCTGTCCTGAAGATGATTATCTGTTCTTTTTTTAAACATGGTGTTTTGTTCTTGAGGTACCTGTTTGTGCCTCAAAAATGTCACTCTTTTTGGTGAATCTGTGGGTGCTGAGCACTCAGCAGCATTCTGCTGCTCATGTCAAGCTTCTATATTATTATTAAAGGAAGATTGGGCTTTTTTTTGTGGATTATGTTGTTTTTAACCACTTTAAATACATCTCCCTGGAATTTTTTCAACTTTGGGGGAGATTTAGTGCACACACTCTGAATAAAACACCTCCCAAACATCAGCTTGGGTTCAAAATGTGCTCGGGGAGAGGGGAAAAAATTGCATTGCATGAGCTGAACCATGAGGGCAGCATGACTCTGGCTGGTTGGCATTCCCAGGACAGCTTCAGACACTGTATTTACTGCTCTGGCTGTGGCCAGGCATTTTAATAAAGGTGTGCAGGGGCAGCTTGGGTGACCTACATAAATCAGAGAAGAATCAGCACAGAAGAAACCACAGCTCGGTTTGTAAGGCCTCAGCCCAAAGCTGAGTGGGACAATCTGGGATGCAGAAATCCTGGGATGGTTTGGTCATGGGCTGGAGTAGGCTTTCTGGAATGTAAAACTTCATATTTCAGATTTATCTCTGTTTTCAAAGAGGTGTTGCAGCATTTGGGTTCAAGTATCTTCTGTATGCTTGTGTGTAGACCTAAATTCTCCAGAGTGCTGCATTTTTCAGTGCTAAACACTTCTGGTTTTATTAAAACAATCTTGCACAGCTTCAGAAAACAGCACTTTTGGCCATCCAGAGTTCCTAATTTACAGTTCTCCTTTGTTGCTATGAGAAATCTTGAGTTGGCACAGGAAAAATTACAACAGCACAAAAGTTAATTTCGGAGCCGCCGAAGCTGTTGCCTAAAGAAAACCTGAAGGCTTTTCTTAAATAATCTCAGACTTTCTGAGGGTAGCTCTTGTTGCCAGCGTGTCTCAAGTGTTCCTCATGGCTCAAAACACCAACTTTCTGCAGGGTTTCAGCAGCATCTGTGCTGCTCTCAGCCCACGCTGTGGTTACTCAGCCCTTGCACAGGGACAGGGACAGGCTGCTCAGAGCACTGCCTTAACTCTGCCTCAGAAAATGCATCTTGCACTTTAAACCTCCCCAGTGGATGCTGCTGGTGAACTTCCAGCAGGGAATGAGTTTCCCAAGCTGTACAATCTCACCTGGGAATGCCTCTCCTTGCTGTTAGGGAGGGTTTTGTTCCATCCCCTGTCCCTGAGCGCTGCCAGCTTTGTCCATCCTGCACAGGAGCTCTGGGAGTTTGTTTGTGCCACCAGGAGAGCTCCAGTCATTGTTTAAATCCTCATTTTCATCTTTCATTCAAGTAGAAAAATCCCTGAGGAATGATTTCCAAATCCTTGTATCACTTCAGGCCCCTCTGATGCGGAGAACATGGCTTATTCCTTGAGTTTAGATTTTATACTTTCCCCCCAAGCAGTTATTCCATCAGCAGCTATCACTTGGCTTTTTTACAGATTTTTATTACTCTTACTTAGTCCTTTCATAACTTACAGGCCACAATGAATATTATCAGAATTTGGCAGTAAAAATAAGTGCCTGCATTAGTATTCTGCTGTGTGCTAAAGGTTGCCCATGCTTCCTTTTGCTGACCTAATTTAATAATTCATGACCATTTCTGAAGTCCTTTGGCTGAAATTCTCCTTCTCTTTTCCAGGGAACAGTCCTACATGGAAAGTGTTGTTACCTTCCTCCAAGATGTTGTGCCACAGGTAGGGTGTGGATCTTTAAAACCACTTTTTTTTTTCAGTGCACAAAAAAGCAGAGTCAGGGATCCTCACTCTGCTTTGTAAATTTATTTATTTAATCTGATAAATGAATAAATAAATAAATGAATAAATGAATGAATAAATAAATAATTTTAATATGTTTATTTATATCGTTTAGTATGTTTATATATAATTAATATGGCACTGGAATGGTGCCTTCCTGGTTGCCCATGGGCCTCCCAGTAGCAGAAGGGAACTAATTTTGTTTTACTCTTTGGGAAAGCTGTAGAGGAGCACTGCAGCTGAATTTAGCTTCAGGAAATGATCCTGATTCTGATTCCAAGGAATGATTTAGTGTCTTGTTTCCTCATGAATTTCCTCTTAGGAATTCCCAGTGCATTTATTCTGTAATAATACAAAAACAATGCCCTCAGTAACAGCAATTTGTGAAATGAATTTTGGACTCAGGGTTAAAATTAGACATAATGAAAGTTTCAATTAAGAGATTGCTGCATTCCACAGCTTCCCATTCCCCCTCTCTGGTTAAAGGACACAGTCTGTGTTTTATTTTCCACATCAGCTTGCCTTGGAAGTGTGGAATGTGATTTGTTTTGGAAAGTAAACCCCACACTTATTTTTTAAATTTGTATTTTTAGTCCGTGTTGTTGCTTTTCTGGCATGTATAAAGTGATTATACAAGATGTGTTCATATTTAATCCCAAATAGTGCTCAGTATTTTGTTAGAATTCATTTGGAAGTGATGGTATTTCTGCTGGTTCCTGCTACCACAGCTTCTCCTGAGGACTGTAAAACCTCCAGGCTGGAAACACTGCAAGTCTCACTCCACAATTCCTTTTTGTATCTCATCTTTTTATGGGAATCTGTAGAACACAGGGCTGAAACATGGATCTGTTCTCCTGGAATTGCAGTTTATTCTCTTTTAAATGGCTGCATTAAAGTTGTCACAAACAGAACTGAAAGGTGTCAGTAATATAAACTGTGTAGTAAAGGTCTCTTTCTTCCCTCAGTCTGCCTTGCAAAGCTTTTAAGTGAATTAAAGAGAATTTTAATGATAAAACACCTCATGTGAGAACCTCCAACACTGCTGAGGTTAAAGACTGTAGAAGCCACTGTGTTTAATTTTATTAACTCAACCCTAAGTCACCTGGCATTTCTTACCTGGCCCAAGATTTATTATAAATATTTTGTCATTCCTGCATCAGTGAGTGATGTTCAGCGTGGTTGTGCTGTGTGAATACTGGTGACAGTAAGCTCCATGGATCATGATTGTGGTTTTTAATATAATTCCTTCTTACAGGGGGAGGAAAACCACTGTTAATCTTCCCTGTTTGAACCCTTTTGCTTTTTGTGCAGGCCTACAGTGGAACCCCACCAGAAGAGAAAGAGAAAATTGTCTGGGTCAGATTTGAAAATGCAGATTTAAATGGTATGGCTTCATTTTCTCTCACTTTTCTTGTGAGTTTTGGGTCCATGTGCAATAATTCCAGTCAGCTTATATTCCAGTATAGAATAATGATAAACATTATGATTTTCTTGAGTAAAAGCCCTCTTAAATGACATTTTTAACCATGAGAGAATGAGCAAAGCTCACAGAAAGCATGGAAGTATCAGAGACAGAGAAGATTTATTTGGGGTGGTGAAAGAGGCTTTTTCCAGGCCCAGTCAGAACAGGCTGCATAAAATAAATGTAAACACAACACAAAGGGTTCTGAAGAATATTCCAAAGAGTTTTGTTATATGAACACAAAAAGGAAATGCCTGAGAGTTTATGAAAAAATAAAGGGAAAACAAACCCACAAGCAAACAAACCTTGACTGGCCAAAGATAGCCATAAAACCACGTGGAGATTATAGATAATTTCTAGTTCTAATAACCCTGATTTAGGTTCACTCTCACTCCATCCCTAACCTTCCTTTAAAAAAAAAGGGAACAGGGATAAACAGGTGGAAGAGCTCAGTCTGAAAGAGGAATCAGTCACCATTTTCTTTTAGACCATGCTGTTATGCAGTAAATTTTTCTCCAATATTTTAAATTTTGAAGCTTTCTCTTTGTGAAACTTTAAGAATATATTTCAGTATTGCTCCAGCAAGAAAATGTAAAGCACTGTGGTTGTTTTTAGTTCTAACAACTGAGGGAACACCATCAAATGTTGCTGAGAGCTTGATCCTGACTCCTAATAATGGCTTTGCTGTTGAAATGTCCTTCAGATACATCCAGGAATATGGAATTCCATGAAATCCACAGCACTGGGAATGAGCCCCCGTTGCTGCTGATGATTGGCTACAGCGATGGGATGCAAGTGTGGAGCATACCTGTGAGTTCAGAGCTCACCCCTCCTTCCTTCTCCTTTTCCTTGTCAATTTTGTGTTCCAACTTGAATATTTCACCTTGAATTTCTCCCGTTGGAGGGAAGGAGCCAACACTTCCCATCAGTGTCTCGTGGATTGTGTGTGGTGTGCTTATCTTCAGATAATCCTGAGCACAGCTCAAACACTTCAGTTCGTGTACCTGCAGATTTTTGAGGGCTTTGTACACATTATTCCTGCTAAGTCCGTTTCCACCCTCAAACTGGGAGCAGTGTTTGCCATTCTGGAATAGTTTCTAGCCCCAAAACAAAACTGGATTTTGTTTTTTTAACAGAAAAGAATATGGTTAAAAAAAAAACAAAAAAACAAAAAAAACCAACAGGATTTGTTTGTCCCAGGAACTCCAGTATGACAGTATCAATAGTATTTTACAATCACATGTTTGTCATGGACATGATTTGCAATTTTAATTTTATGAAGGCCTCTGTTGCATATGGATTTGATTTCATGCTGTCATCCCCATCCCCTGGTTTGTGTTGCAGAGTGGTTTATGGGGCACGTGGTCTTCATTTGGGGAATTTCCCCCAAATTGCTCAAAATGAGAGAATAAAGTTGAGTACAGTAGGTCATAAAATTCTGAACTTAAAAAAGCAAAATTGCTCACAACACTCTATCCTTCAGAATAAGGCAGAGAGGATGGAGTTCTTTCTCTTTGTAAAATACATTGTTTTTTAAAGAAATGTGTACATTTTACAACTTTCTGTGTAGAACATGTGTTTATATATTGGTTGCTTAGAAAACAAAGTTAATTACTACAGCAAAAGTTCAGTTTAATTGAGTTTTATGGGCGTGGTAGGGCTTTTCCCCTCTTTATTGCATCTCATTATCCTCTTGATTGCATCTCATTAGCACGAATGAGGAAATAAGCTGGTGAGGTTTTGTGCTTGAAGGAATGTTTAAAAGAAGTTGAACGAGACCTAATATACTTCGCTAAATTTCAGTATTTTGGAACTGTTTATTAAAATTTAGGAACTTGAACTGAAACTTGGGAAGATTTCAGCCAAAAATGGGATTTTCTCTCGCGGTGCGTTACACCAAGTGTCCACACGGGGGCGCTGGGACACCGAGCTAAGAGCGGCAGCACCGCCTCATCAATCATCAATTAATTAATGAATTAATTACTATACCCTGAGCATCGCATCGGCTTGTGCTCAGTTATCCTCACAAAACACCCCGTTTTACCCAGCTGAAATGCTTTTATCCGAATGAACCTGTGTTTTCTGCTAAAAAAGGGATATGTGTTGCTATGGATGGATGTTTTAATTTTCTTTCTGTCTTTTTATTTTCTTTTTTTTTTCCTTCCTTGTGTCCAAATGAGCCACAAGTTAGGCCATGGAATACCTGATTTTGCCTTCTTTTTAGCAGGACCATACAGCCAGGCTATGTTTTTTCCCCCGCAATGTATTTCACTTCTTCATCATTCCTAGCTTTTGATAGTATTTGCTATTTCAGGAAAAAATAACAAAAATTAAGTTGCAGGACAGCTTCTCTCAGTGTTGTTCAATTTTTGCAGAAGTATGAGCAGGGGGGAAGTGCAGTGAAATGGAGAAAATGCCAAATGTGGAAATATTTTACCATCCACCTTCAGAATGTCAGCTGTGGGGATATTGCATCATTTTGCCAGCCCTTTATTATTTGTATATTCTGTGAAATTCTGAGAGCACAGCCAGGGAGGTGCAGCTTGGACCTGGACACTTTGTGTTAGAGCAGTGTTGGAATGGCTCCTCTGGTAGATTTTCACAGGATAATGATCTTTAACATCGGCTTTAAATATCTTTGCTGAGCAGGATTTGTATATCCAACAAATTTAGAGGGAACATGAACTGGAGGAGGTTTTCACAAACTGGAGGGGGTTTTCCACATTGTTGCTTCTCCTTTGTGTTTCCCCCCCTTGCTCAGCCTGAGCACAATAAAACCTGGCAGCTATGTGATTGACTTAATATTTAAGAGCTTATTTGGCAACACTTTTTTGTGCCCTTCTATTACACAAACCTTCCTTCTTGGCCCCACTGACTATTTAGCTTGTAATTAAGCAATGTTATTCCAGCTAAGGGGGAAAAAAACCAAAAAACCCAACAAAACCCCAACCCTGCATTCTCCAGCTTAATCTGCAAAAGCAACAATCTGACATTTATGTGCAAATCTCCTCAGGAAAGTCATTATCTGTAGCATTGTGCTTTTTTATTCCTACAATTGGCCCTCTATTCAGCACTTAATAACGTGTTGCAGGCAGCAGGGGTTGTGTGTGAGTGATTATGAAGTGTTTATGACAGCTCCTAAGCCCACACTCCTGCTAATGGTGCTACATGGCCTTGCCCACACCTCTCTGCAGTGTCTCTGCGAGCTGAGAGTGCTTTCACATTAACATCTCCTCCCGGGAAGATCTTTGGAGTACAAAAAGTGTGATTTGCAGGATGGGAGATGCCATTAGGGCGCCTTCAAAGGGCTCAGGGTGGTGTTTGGGGGAGCCTGGCTTTGGAAGTGCAGCACAAGGTGTCCATCCCAAGGGCTGGGCTTTGATCTCTGCTCTCACATGGGGGTGGGAAGGTTAAAAATGGGCTTAAAATACTCCTGCCTAAGTGGGGAGGAATCTGGGAATACACTGGGAGTTCCTGTTTGATAATGGTGCCGTGGAGTTCTGTGTTTTGTTTGGAATTTGGTTTTTTGCCTTGCTCCCAGTTTCGTGTTTCAGAGACAACTGGAACTGCTTTTTGCCTGATGTGGTTTCCAAGGATCTGTTCTAGATGTTCCTGTTCAGGGAATGCACGTTGGCTGCTTTTTTTTCTTTTTTTTTTTGCTTTTCATTGTAGGCTGGGAGTTTCAGAAGTAGAAAAATCATCTTGGTGTAATGGTTCTTGTGACAATTAACAAAGAAACTTATCACATCCCAAGCTGCAACCCTTCCTCTGTCCAGGTCTCTTTCCAGAGGGAACCACTTGCATGTGCCACTCAGAAAAATGGAGTAAAGACCTGACCTAATGACCCTGAAAAATGTCTGAGGACTTTACAGAGCACCTATGCAAATCATTTGGGTTTTTTACACTGAAGAGGCACCATTGTGCAAGAAATGTGGTTTTATAAAACTTCTGATTCCATTAGCACTGCCATAATTTGAAGAACTAGGTGCAACTTCATCCTCAGTCCAGCCACTAGAATAACATTCCTTGAGCATCTAAACTGTTACAATCTCTAGATAATTACAGAGATCTGGTTTGAATGGAAAAGCTGAGTGAATTTCTAAACTAAAGTGGTAAAATTTGTTCCTTTTCTTCCAGTCCTTCCTTACTTTCTCAGCAGCAGCATGACTGGAAGTTGCCTTTAACCCACATGCAGCAATATTTGGTGGTGGTATCTATTAATTGCTTATTATCATATTATAATGTCATATCATGATATCTTCATGTATAAAACATGCATCAGAATATTTAAAAACAACCTCCAGATCACTCCCTTTTCCTGTTACACATTCCCCAGTTTCCATTTCTAGATTTGCACAGTTCAAGCATTGAGTTACCAACTCCATTTCGTTTCACTTTGGTGTATGTTTGGCCTTTTTTTTTTTTTTTAACATTTTTTTTCACCATGTGAAAACCATTTTCTCTGGTTGGAAAATATTACTTGTCCTTGGTGTGAACAAAATTTCCTTTGTTCAGCTTTTTTTTATGGGTGCAAACTGGTGTGCTCCAAACAATGCAGCTGTGCCATCAGAAATTACCCAGTGCTGCAGACTCCTGGCCTGTCATGTTTTAAGCAGTAGCTCAAGATCTCTTAAGTGGAGGAGAAGATTCTTCTTCCTCCTTTAATGAAGACTTTTTTGGGGGGTTTGAATCCTTTGCTTCCAGCCTTCCCTGTAGGTCTGGGAGTTGTGGTTGATGCCAGGTTTTGGGAAAGCTGAGATGTTCTACCAGAGCAGCTTGGAGCCATCATTTTGGATTCCCTCTTCCCTGCAACGAGTACCTGAAGCTGCTTTTACAGCTTAATATCCAATTCTTGAAACCTGTTTGGAAATATTCTTGGCTTTTGGAATGGGAAAGAAAAACTTTTAAGAGCTCTGAGAGCTGCCACGGGGACTTGCTACTTAGCTGGATCCAATCCAGCATGGCAGCCACAACCTCGTTTCTCACAGGTGCTTTTTGAAGAATTTAGAGCTCTGTTTTCAATTCATAAGCTCTATTTATGTTTTGTCTGTGCATGAGAGACTGTGGGGCTCCAGGGACTGGTAATGGGATGTGGAGCCTTTGGCTGGGAGGTGGCAGCCCACAGGTGACCCCCTGTCCCCTCAGCGTGCAGTTCCTGGTCCCTCTTGGGTTCCTGGTGGGGAGAGTGTCCCATTCTCAGGAGATGAGCACTGAGATAAGGGCTGGAGTGACAAAAGATCAGGCCACACAATCTCTGTCCCCCCAAGGAGGTGCTTGCAGGCAGATTGGATCTGTGGACCTCAGCAATGAAGTTTTATCCATAGATAAATGAAAGGCATTAGCATTAACCACACTTAGTTCTGGGGTTTGTAAGATTTTTGTAAGACTGCAAACAGCAGAAGCTTCTGGTGGTGATGGTGGTGTTTGAAAGAAGTTAATTGGAATTCAAAGAAAATCTTGAACTCGAAGCCCTAATGCATTTTTCAGTGCCAAGCAAACCAAGGAACAACCAAGCTCTTACTAATTCATGGCAGACGCAGCATGCAGTGTCTTCCATGAGTCCCTGTCTCAGCAGAACAGTTAAGGACACACAGCTTAAATCCCCTGAAAAAGCTGTTACTTTGTGAAACTATGCTAGATTAAATATTAGTGTTGTAGTGTCACATCCAGATTTTTTGGAAACTTTATTTTGTGCCTTTTAGAGAATTTGAATTTTCTTTACAAGCGAGATGCTGGTGGTTGGGTGACACCCTCCACTGGGGGTGTATCTTAAAATTTGATCCTTTTTTAGCTCCCAGGACTCAGCAAATGCTGAGCACTTGAGCTGCAGAGGCTGAACCCAAACCATTCCATGATTTAGATTGCTGCAGGGACTGAGCAGAGGACCTGTTAACCTACAGTGCTCTCAAAACAGGGGCTAAATACCTGTAATCTCCTCTTAGTCACTGTTGCATCCTGTACCTTTTGTTACTCCATTTAACCTTACTTTCTGTAATTTTCCCCCAGTATAAAATAATAAATTATCTTTAAATAATGAATATTAATTATTCAAAAGTTACTCCATTACATGCATGAGAAGAGCTGGGCTGGGATTTCCATGTTTAATGCTTCAGTACAAATAAACTTCATTTGTATTTGGACATTTCTAGCTTTTCTTTGCAAGTCTCAAGTTTAAGCTCTGCCAGGTCTTGGCACCCCAGACTGGATAAACATTCTCCTGGAGTTCAGGATATTTAAGAGCAGAACCTGAGTTAAGAAGGTTTGGCCCTCTCAGTGTGTCTTCCTTTGGGGACTGGAACTTTTTGAAGTAGATTGGAGCTGGGGCTGGTGTGCTGGCAGGGATAAAAAGCAGAGGGAGGTGTGTGAGCTGCTTGGGATATTTTATGGGAATCACTCCTTCCCTACCTTTGTTGTGCTGGTTCCTTTCCCTCCTGTTTTCATTCCTAGCCAGAGATGTGCATACACGTGTGAAACAGCATTTTCATGGTTTGGGGGAAAAATCTTTAATTGCCAATAATAATAGTTCCCAAACCTTCTATTTTTCTTCTTTTCCATTTCCTCCTTTCCCTTTGCATAGAACTGCTGTGTTCCAGTGGACAGAAAACGTGCTGCTGTCTTAATTTTTTACATCTCTTTATTACTCTGTCCCTCTCTAATTTTCCTCATTTTCTGCTTAGCTGTGCTCTACGTTTTTCTGAGCTGTTTTTTCTGGATACAGATGTTTTCATCCAGAGTCTTTTTTTTTTTTTCCTCCCCACACTGCACTCCAAGCTCATGGCCAGTTAAAAGCCATCAGCAAACCTTTAGTGAGTTGGTGTCATTAACACAGATTTTAATTGATAAACTGCTGGTTTAAAATGGGTTAAAATGTTATTTCCCCACATTTGTGTAGCTTGTGTGTAATTCCAGGCTTAACAGGGAGAAGCAGCAAGTCTCTCTATTGTGTGCAGAGTGGTGGCTTAGCTCTGTAGTAAATGGTATTTTCAAAGTGATTTTATTTATAATTGTGCTTCATGGGGTGGGTTTCATTCTCCCCCATGACCTAGAGCAGTGATAATAAATAACCAGGCAAGAGTGGATGTAAGCTGAGAGCCTGGAGTGCTGTACTTGGGATTTGCTGGTCAAACAGTAGGAGTATTTTAACTTTTTGGACGTGTGAGCTGAAGTGCAGAAAGAAATGGAAACAACCATTAAATGACATTTCCAAAAGTTCACTTGAATTTATAGTTTATTGATTCCTAAGAACCTTATTCCAAATCATGTTCTCTTCTGATATTGTAAGCTGCTTGTTTGGCAAAACTTTATGCCAGCCTTGGCTGTGTTCTGAGGCTCATTACATCTGTTTTAAGTTGTTGGTTAGCTGGAAATGAGCTTCATAATGTTTGCCATTTTCCTGGAGTTTGACGTTCCATATCGGATCCATTTCCAGGCAGTTATGAAAATACATTGAGTGACCATTGCAGGAAGTCTGGGAATTCATCTTAACTGCTTCTGGTTTAATCTTTTCAACATTGCCATCAGTGACAGGCTTAAGTAGCTTGACCACCAATTTTTAAACATGGTTTTCACACCTGGTGAGTTTGAAATGAACCAATATATTAAATTCTCCCAACTTTTTCCACCTGTGTTTGCCACTCTTGACTGATTTCTGGTGAGCTGGCATTTTCCTTTAGAACCATGTGAAATGTGGGATAAATTTTTGGGAATTTTAGTCAGCTTCAAGTCTTGCTTCTTCCAAAACCTGTGTGGTCATGAACGGTCAATTCAAGACTTCTTATGTATATATTTTCAATTAGAAAAATAGCAGTGGTTGCTTAGGCAGAGTCTTACCAATATACCTCCCTACAATGCCTTTCTAACTCCATCCTTAGCTGTGGAACAGATGTGTTTTTGCAGGTGTAAATTGTTTTTTGGCCTTTGCAGATCAGTGGGGAGGCTCAGGAGCTGTTCTCGGTGCGCCACGGGCCGGTTCGAGCCGCTCGGATCCTGCCAGCTCCTCAGATCAGTGAGTACACCCCAAACATTCAGCACCCACACAGCTCTGCAAGGCTGCTGGTCCTCTCACTTAAACTAACAAGACAACAGGATTTGTGTTTTGGAGTGGCTCTGGCTTCTGATTATTTTACATTAACTTTACTCACTTTGGCCCTTTCAGTGGTTTACATTTTATCATCCTCAAGTGCAGCTCCTCTCTGCCTCTGCTTAAACACCATTTAATCAAATCCTAAACCAAGCTGCTTAATTTAACAGGATTCTTCCAGAAGTTGAGTTAACCCTGAGAAGAACTTGCTGCAAAATCTGAGTAACTGTGCATGAACAAGCAAATTCCTCTGAAAAAATGACCCTGTTCAATCCAAACCCAATCTAATTGTTGGCTTCTGAAAGAACTGTTTGGGTCTAAATTAAATGTGTTGTTTTACTTTGTGGATGAAAAGAATTTGACCAAGGAGTTTGGGGACTATGCTGGGTTAGAATTTCTAGTAATATTTTATTAATTAATTAATAAACTCAAAAAATACAGCCTAAACCCTTAATATTTAAATTATTCATAGTAAATTGTACTGATTTTGTGTGTTTCAAAGAAAGTAAATGAAGAATGTTTAATGGGCTATACTATATATTGTTTTGGTGATTTCCTAAGTAGAGGAATATACAAAGCATATGTGGCTGTGTAACTATGACAGGTTAAACCAACTTAGAGTGAAATACTTCCCAAGCCTTTATTCCATTTATTGGAACCCTGCATAATTCCCAGCGAGATTCTCTCTTGCTGTTATGTGTGTCATTGAGTGGTGGATGTCTGTGCCCTTCCTCTCTAGAAGGAAAAAAACAAAGGAGAAAGAAGTGGAAATGAAATTAAATGAAAATGAAGTAAATTAATTGAAGAACCTGGGAGTTCTGTTTTTTCTGGTATTAAAGCAGGTTTTTGATTTTTCAATCAAGTAAATCACACTCATGAACTCCTTCAAGCAGTTATTGTCTTTCTGCCCCTAAATTCCATATATTTAGCATCTGACAATGATAGTTGTTACATTAGAAAACTATTCAAATTAGCTCATATTAAATTAAACCAAACCTTTTAAAAACATGTTTTGGTCTCTTTTTACATGGCTTGGTTTAAATAAATCTTTGATTAAAAGTACATGAATGTATCATTGACCAGTATCTGGAATCAGATAAAAGTAAAGCTGTAATAAGAGGCCTTAGATAACTAACTCATGAGCTTTAATGATTCTGAACGAAATAAAAGGAATTTGTAAAGGAGAAGCTGATTACCATCAGCAGGCTCAAACACTGTTTTACTGTAAAGCTGTAAAAAGGGAATTATTGAAAATAGGAGTCTCCTGGTGGATGGATTTGGCACGTTCCTAGAAACAGATCTGAGCTGGTGATAAGCAGCTCATTCCCAGGTGTGAAAGGAAAGCTCATGGCTTTAACTTGGTGACTTTACAGCAGCAGAACTTAATAGTTTGTCAACTATTTCATTAAAAAACTGCAGCCCTTTGATGTTAGATCCTCTGCCTCGTGGTGTGCCTCGTGGCATAATGAAGCCTTGTTTCAGAGGCATTATTTCATGCAGGGGATCTCCTCCAGCAGGAGCCTGGGCAGCTCTGTTAGCTCCTGGAGCTGCTGGGACTGGCATCTGTGCTCTGCTCTGAGCCACCAGCCTGGGCTGGCTCAGCATCACTTCCATGTCCTGCTCTGCAGCCTGGAGGAGATGGCCATGAGAAATGGAGGGATTTCTGTCAATAATGCTAAACCTTCCAGGTCTCAACCCCTCTCCTTGGTCAGGTCACACCTACCAAGGCCTTCAGTAGGCAGGGCTTTAATTATTCTGTGCAGTTTAATTATTCTGTGCAGTTTGCAGTGTACATTTTTGGAGACTGAGGCTTTGCACTGTGACCAGATTTTGGGCTTGCAGAGCTCATATTTAGACTATGAGAACATCTCAGTCTGGACTCTGGCAGTCTTAGGGACAGGAATTGTGAGCCATCCTTGGCTCTTCTCCACTTCCACATCTGGGGGCTGGGCTGGGGTTAGGGTTGTTTCCATGTGTCCAGGTCTGGATTTTCTGTCAGTGCTGAGGCAGTGATACATTTATTTCAGTTACCTTTGTTGTTCTTTCACCTACAAAATCAGAATACTGATGCTTTCTGAAGGAAGTCAGTGCTAGAATCTCCCATTTTTTATTACTTATCCCAGGTCATTTTACAAACCCCTGGCCAAATACCTGCTTTGCCTTGTGCTGTCCCATTTGTCAAGGTAGAGCTGCATAGTTAAAAAATCAATCAAGAGCCTCAGAAAGCCAGGGAGCAGCTCTGTGTGTGGCAGTTCCTCTCAAAGGGGTGACAGGCTGGTGTGGTGAAGTTTAGATCAGTGGGTGTCTGTAAAACCTATTTCCATGTTTCAGCATTATGAAAATAAATTCCTCCAGCGAGCTGAATTAATTTATTGCCATTTTCTAGATTATGCTGCTTGCAGAAAGATGATATAATAGCCCTACATCTCTCAGTGAATTTGACTGTTCACTCAAATTGACTTATAAGTGGGGAAAAAAGCAAATAAAAAAAGGAAATAGAAGGAATGTGGAGGCACTAAAACCCATTGAGAGTTGAAATATTGCAGCAGATTTATCCTGTTCTCCACTGCTCCCATCTTTGATGTTGGTAAAATTAAGATTTGAACCTCAAAAGCTGACTCAGGTTTATGTGCAGGTACACTTAAAGAGCTCTAATATTTAGGTTGCTTTCTAAAGGAAGGCAGATGTGAGGTTTGTGTATGTTCAGCCACTTGGGTGGTTCAGTGGTTTGAAATCCCCAAAAGGCCAAAATAATCCCAGGTTCTGTGTGGTGGAGGGGCTGGCCCTGCTGGATGGACAAGCAAGGTTTGGGGTGGTTGTGCAGGTGTGTGTCTGAGTTCTGCTGTTCTCCCACTGTTCCCTGGAGTTTTTGGGATAATGAATGGGAATGTCTGTGGATTTTAGAAATTACAGACTGGAATTATCCAAGTAAGTCTCTTTTAGAGAGATTACAGGGGAGAATTTTGGGGTGCAACACTGTAAAATCCCAGTTTCTTCGAAGCTTTGGCCTGACCTGTGTTTCCTCATCACGTCATAAATGAAATAAAAGAATTATTTAATTGTTTTCTAGTGCTTTAGACCAGTGCACCTGAAACTTTCACCCAGCTGGGCTGAGAGGGAATTCCAGCCTGGGGCATTCCCAGGTACTGCTGGGCTGCTGCAGAACCAGAAATGCCACAAGATTTCCAAGGAAAAGATGGAAAGGAGAGGGGTTTAGTGGAGCAGGAGCAGCACTCATTATTAAATGGGACTGATCAGTGGAATTACACACCAGGAAAATCCACCCCATGGTGCCTCTGCCCACTGCTAAATAGGTCAGAGTGTGAAATTCATGCATCACGTTTCTCCTGATGGCAAACCAGGGGCATTTCCAGAGTTCTGAGCAGCCTTTGAGTTCCTGTGACACCCACTGGCTTTCATTTTTATCCTGCACAAGGATGTGCTGGTTTTGGTGGTGTTCTCACTCTTTTTATTGGCATTATTGAGGGGCCTTAGCAGGCCCTGAGGTCCCAGTTCACAGTTTCATCAGCAGGACAGGGTCTAAGCTGCTTTGAGCTTAGTGTGGGTAACCTTTTGACTTCATAAACTTCTAAATGTTGATTTGTATGAAATTTCATTTAGCCACAGAGATATTTTTTTTTGTCCCTTTTTTTTTTTCAATTTTAAGCACACTAACTGAAGTGAGGTTTTTAAAAAACCAAACCTATCATTTAGCTAAATGGAGCTGTAGATAAGGTGGTGCCTTGTTGGCAGGAAGGGCAGTTTTCATTACTTTAATTGTGTGATTTGTCAGGATTTCCAGCATTTTATAAATGCTGTAGTGTTATATGACAGAGTTAAAAGGATTTAGAATGAAAGGAGTTTAAGAAAAAGACTTTGCAACAGGATTTCAATACTTTTTGTATTTGGGGGGATTTAGGGAGCTGTTTTTCATTTCAATTTTGTTAAACACTGTGTGTGCAGCAGGTGTGTGCAACGTCAGCGCCTCGCACATGCAAATAAACACAATTTTACAAATGAAAATTAATCCAGCAGAACTTGGGGGATTAAATGCCACCCCAGACCTGGGAGAGGCTCCTGCCTCCATTAGAGCCCAACACATGTCACTGTGCAATCTCATGGATGGGACAGCTATTAACCTGATTTAATGCCCTCAGAGGCCTCCCAGTAATGATCCTTTCCTGCACTATTAATATTTACATTCTGAAAGTATTGGAGTAGAAAATGGATTTTTTAAAATTGAGGGACTCGAGTCATTATAGACAGAAATCAGAAGTTTAAGCACCTATTGCAGAAATTTTGCAAATCTGTGCTGTGGGTATTAAATCTGGCATTGCTTTTGGTTTGGGGGCACTTGATTCCCTGGACTCCCCCCCATCTTTTTCCTCCTTCTTTCCCCTTCCTGGTCATTAAACTAGACCATAAATAAACATTTGAATTTGTGTCTCTAATATATATCAATATATATAATAATCAATATATTATATATATATATTATATATATTTGCGATCTAATATATATCAATATATATAATATATTGTGTATCTAATATAGTGAGAAAGAAGGAAAAAAAGTAGAGTTAAATACTTCAGGTAAAATCCTGGCTGCACTTAAATCAGTGTCAGAAGTGCTGGTAGTCAGCATTTCACCCTCTGTGCTGGGAGCAGAGCAAATGGAATTCATCTGTTACCTGCACTGAAGGAAACAAATTGGTTGCCAGACTCTTAAGGAGACTTTTATGTTTCATTTATCAATTTACAGGTCAGTACATACAGTACAGGTTTGACTCACCAAAGAGCTCGAAATAATAGGAATAAAAGGAAAATACATCTGGCTGGTTTAGGTTATTTGTAAAGCTATTGTTGATGGTGGAGTTATTGATGTGATCCATTTGACTTTATAAATACCCAAAGGTGTAGGAGGGAAGATTTTTCCTTGTACAGCTGAGAGGACTCAACAGTGTTTGTTACAAATTAAATGCACGTACCTGAGTCATTAATAATTAACAGCCTGCTATGTCAAAATATATATTGTTAATTGTTGTGCCTTTCTGAGTAAATAATTTAGTTTTGTACAGCACTATTCAAGATTTAAATTTTGAGCAGACTATATCACGAATATTCTTTAGAGATCAAAGGGTTTGGTGTATAATGGAGAAAAGAAAATCCATTATTCACCACACATGTGCAGACCTATAGACAGATAATTAAAAAGGCAGAGGTTGAAAGAAAATGGAGGAAAGTTAGTAGTTGTTACTTTGTTATTTAAGTTGGGTTGAAACATACCCTGGAATTCAGGGTATTAAACATTGTTCACAAGCAGAAGTGAGATTTTTTTTTTTTTTAAAACTCAATTTTAGTTTTATTTCTGTTTACGCAGCAGTAAAGCAAAGTTCTCCAAACTCTTAAAACCCCATTTTAAGAAGTGTGGCGTCTTTAACAGTCTGCTGAGCTGGGGTGGAGGTGTGACTGAGCCTGGGGGCACAGCAGGGCTGGCTCCCAGTGCCAGGGCTGGTGTCCCTGGTGTGGGACAGCTGGCCCAGCCTGGCACAGAGCAGCTCTGCTGGGCTGTCAGCACCCCTAGGAGGGGATGGGATGTGCTGTAGGACTTGTGGTTCCACTTGGAGGTTGTTTTTTTGAAGGTTTCCATCTCCTGGTGGTGGAACAGCTTGATGTGGTTTGGATTTCATCTCCTGTTTTCTTGGGCACGGGGCAGGGGCTGCAGAGGCTGCTCTGAGGTTGGCACTCCTGGGTTCCATTTCTACAAACTGGAAGCCAAGGTGTGAACCCAGGCAGAGCTGCAGAGAACTTCCTAAAAAACAATGGAAAGTGAGCAAGAGCCGCTTGTTTCAGTCACAGAATCCCAACCCTTGTGGGATGAACAGAAAATCACTGCCAAAGCCTGGCCACCTTTTGCTGCTTGTCTTGTTCTCATTTTCATCTCTCACACAGCTCTGCCTGTAATTTGAATTTCTGTCCCTTATCTTGCTCAAGCTGGGAGTTTTTTGTTATATTCAGTATATTGGGCCCCAACCTGAACTCGGAAGCTGTACAAACAGCACATAGTGATTTGCTTTTTCTTTTCTTTTGTTTTCCCTCTTGTCAGGTGCTCAGAAATGTGATAATTTTGCTGAGAAGAGGCCTCTGCTTGGTGTGTGCAAAAGCATTGGGTCTTCTGGGTAAGAATGTTTTCTGTGCATAAAAGGAATATATAAATTGCATTGCCATCTGAAGAGCCCAGCAGATGACATCTTTAAACTTTGTTCCTTTTTTCTTCATGGGATAACACTGGGATGTGATTTTAAACTATTTTTTTGGTGTGTCAACATATATTTTCCTATGACTTAAGCTTTTGGAAAGGGATAAAAAAGAGACTCTTGATATAAAATAAATAAAGAGGTATTTAAGGTTTATTTTATTCTCAGTGGAATCACAACTTTATGATTAACCTTTTCTGATATTAATCCGGGTCAGAATTATTATTGTGAAGTGTTTAAAGCAATCTCTGTGTCTTAAAAAGTAATTTTTCAAGCAGCAAATGAATTACAAATACCAAGCATTTCATTGTTGCAGCCACACACTCTTTATTAGCAAAATACATGTTAAACCTCCTTGCCTGAGTTACAAAAATCAGTTTGCAGTCTTGTTTTATGCTCTCTCCAGAATTGTTGTATCACTGCTCTTATAAAAGAGGCCCTTGAGATATTTTATGCTTTATTCAGACAATGCACAGGATTTATATCTCTACATACAGGAAAATATTTGCTTTTCAGGAGTAATCCTCTACACAGCCATTTAATGGCTGAGCAGTTGAAGTAAATCTTCTTACAGTTGTAAGACTAATTCTGTGCCACACCTTTTTCAATTAAGAATTTAATCACTGTGTGTGTGAAGGAAGAACTGTCAAATCTTTACCTTTCTCTGGTATTACTGTGTGAAATTGTAATATTAATGTTACCTGCCTTAAATGTTTGAATTAAAATCCACATAGGGCAGAGAAGTGATTATTTTTTTCTTTATGTATTTACAACTTGCAAAAACTGGTTGATGGTGATTTTTCTTATTTTCTTCCCTGCTCTTTATTTATAAATTAGAGGTGCAAATGCTGCTCTGTCTTTATCCAAACAGTGTATTTATATATGTAAAGGATATGTTGGTTTAGTAAAAATCTTCTTTCACAATCTTGTTTTAGAAGCTGAGGTACCTGAGAAGTGAACAAACCCTGAAGATAATTATTTTCGTTGTGTTATTGTATTCCTGTTGATGGAAAATAATTCAAAGATTCTGGGCACTTTCTGCTATCCTCAAAAAAGAAAAGCCCCTCATGTGTTTTCAACACCATAATATTGTCATTTCCAAATAATTCTATGTTGTTACCATTATTAATTAACTCCCAGGTGAATTTCCTGATAATAGATTTTGTTTTCTATTCTTGTATGTGACCATTTCATACTCATCAACAAGATGGAACTTTTGCCTTATATCTGATTTTCTGGTGCACACATTTTTGTATTTTAAAAGTCACATTTTTCCAGCTAGTAAAATCACTGAAATGTTTCACAGGGGGGTTGGCCTGGATGATTTTTAAGGGTCCCTTTCCAATCCAAACCAGTCTATGATTCACTGTATAATCTTCTCAAAACAATTGTTTTCACAGCCCCCCAAAAGATGCAGTCCTGACACAGAAATGGGAAACAGATTGTGGTTTTTGGCTGGTATTTCTCTGCTGGTTTAGAGGCTGGTTCAGTCAACTTCAGTCTTAGATTACAAGATTTGCAAATTAAAAGGAAAACCAAAAAAGAAAGAATATCTGACTAAATTTTGGGGTTTTGGAGGGTTGTAAAGACATGCCTGCTTGTTCCTGGTGATAAGACAAACAAATCTTTATAGACACACAAAATTAATTGATGGGTTTGGTGCATATTAATGCATTTCCTAGGTGGTGAAACATTAAGATATCCCTATTTTCCCCACATGGGTTATTGAATCCATAGTTTGGAACAGACTGGATCTGTAAAAACACTTTCAAATACACCAGAGAGGTCCAAAATACATTACTTTCATTCTGCTCAAATGTAAATGTTAAATAAATACTTCAGTTTCACTAGCGGAGAAGTTTAAAGAGAAACTGACCAGGACAATTTTGTTTTAATTCAGATTATTAAAAAACCAGTTGAGAATAAATGGAGACATTGCAAATTTGCCCTTCAGTAGATAATTCAGGTAACAAGAAAGCTGAAAATAATCAAAATGACCATTCCAGGAGGGAAATAAAAGCACATGGAGGAGCAGGGACAGGGAGAATGGGGCAGGGAAGCCAGAGCCCTTGTGCTGTCACTACATGCTCTTAAATCCTTTCTCCAGGTACTGGATCTCTGAGCCATCCTTACAAAAAGCATCTGATATTTTTGTGTCCTGTGTCCAAAGAGCCAAATCATTTTGCTAAAAGATTAGCAGATTATGCCAGAATCTTGCATGGGCAAGTATGATAATCAGCTAATGCAGGTTTAACTAATTAAACAATCAGTGCTAGATGATTAAAAAATAAGAGTTTGAGGCCTTTGGGGAGAGTGCAGGAGTTCAGGCAGTGGCCTCTTCAGCAGCCTCTAGTCTGTGCTGGCTTTCCTGCTTATATTTTTAGAAAGATGAATTAATTTGATGATATCAAGTGGTGGAAAATTTTGGATGACTTGAAGAATTGGATGGAGGTCATTCAAGGGCATGAGAAGCAAGAGGTAATCTTTATTAATCATGGGAGGAGAGAGGAAATTAGGGTAAATTAAAGAAGGAGGAGTAGTTGGAGCAAACAAAATGTGTAACTTTGGCTAGCCAGCATTTTTTTTTTCCCCTGCTGATCTGTTTACAAGGCAAATCAATTGACAGCAGATTTTCAGGAAGCGTGTGCTTTATTCTCATGGCTACTGTAGATTAAATCCTGCTAACCTTAACCCAGCTTCAGTTCAGGAATGTGTTTATGGGAGTGCTCAGGTTTAGGAAGCAGCTTCCCATGAGTAACAGCACAATTAAAACGTTAATATTTTCTCAATTAATATTTCAGAGTCATGTGAGCGTGGTCAGGGTCTGGCAGATCATGGGTAGTGCTAAAATCCAGTGTCCACTCCAAGTGTCTGTAGCTTTTAATGCTTCAGATGAGCTGACTGGGAAATGATTTGTCAGACACAAACAGCAAAGCTCCTGCAAGGATCACCCAAGAGGAGGAAATGAGCTCTGGTGAATGAAGATTTTGTTCCCAGACACTGCTCAGGGGAACTCTTCCTGAAATGCCCTGAAATTTCAGCAATTTCCTCTGTTTTTTCTTAGTGGTGATGGTGAGGGCTCACCTGGCTCAGCCCTGCTGTGGGCTGTGCAAAGGGTGTGGTCACTGCAGATAGAAAATGCAGTTTGTTTTCTGAAATCACACAGAAAAATGGTCTGGGCCAGGTGGTTGTGATTTTCAGTTGTATTGGGCACTGTGAAATAGATTTCATTAAGTTTGTGAAGTATTTGTGGGCTTTTATTGAAGGCTGTGCAAAACTCAGATTTTGTAAAGACTCTCGAGCCTAGAAATCAAATTTTATTTAATTATTATATTCTAAAAAGTACAGTAGGACCTCTAAAGTTGGGCAAAACTCTCTCATTTCTGTTACCTTTGGGGATTTGAGTCCCAGAGGTTCTTGTGCTGCTGCATAACTGCAAAGCCTCATTAACTGCAGAGCTGTGTGGTGTCAGCTGCCTTGCAAAGACTTCCTGCCCTTCCAGCAGATGAAAAACATTTTCCTCTCTGATTTCTTTTGGGAAAATTCAGTTTAGCCTTAGCAGGTTGTGTGGTAGCTTTTAAGATCCTGAGAGAGTTTAAAGTAGTTTAAATTCCTTTTAGTGATGCTAGATGGGGTTGTTATGTACTAAAGATAGAATCTTCATCTTAAAAAGAGCCCTTCATTTTTTCTTATAAGTTGATTCTGTGATTATAAAAATGTACTTTTTTTTAATGTTGAAGTGATGTTTGCTGGTAATTCTGTGAATTTTCTCATGGATTCCAATGCCAGGAGATGGAGCTTTAATGGAATAAGGTGGTGTTACCCTGTGTAAATACCAAGGGCAGGAAAGCTCTGGAGTTCCTCTGATGCTCCAAATGTTTGTCTCAGTGAACCTGAGTAAGAAATAACCTTTGAACTATAATAAACTGTTAATCTTGGATCAAAACTGGAAGAAAATGAGTATTTGGGGTCAAATCTTGACCAGCTGGTGAGAACCATGGGTAGTTTTGACCTTCTAAAGCTTTGATTTATGAAGCTGTAAAAAGATAAACCTTTTCCAAGGCATCCTCAGGATGCAGTGGAGGTTTGGGACAGCAGATTTCTGAGTGAGGCACAGTTTTGTTTTATTGCTGTTCCAACCCCTTTGTGTGTAGTGATGCAGGGAGGGGATGAATGGATGGGAAGGATGGAGGGAAGGAAGTCCAGCTAAAACCAGCTGGAGCACAAAGCTGCCCCCAGTAACTTGTCAAAAGAAGCACCACAGGGAAAAGATAATGCACAGCACCATTACAGGCAGGGCTGCCACTTCCAGGGCCACTTTAAATTCCACTTTAAATTATTAAATACTGTAAACGCTATAAAGTTAATTAGAAGAGGAACAAACTCTACAAAGATAAATGTGTTTTCAATATGTTTCTCAGGGAGGGTACAGTAGAAACCAGTGAATGAGAGGAAATTTATTTCTGGCAGCACTCTAGACATGGAACTGTGGTTGAACTTTTTACCCTAATTACGTCCCCACTAATGCCTGCAGCGGTCTGGAATCAAAGTGGCCCTTCAGGCCCTGGAAAGTCTCTGATGTGGCGAGCGTTTGTTGTGTGCTGAGGGTTACTTCAGAAAAAACGGAATATTGTGACAGGATTTTTCAAAATTTCTCAGTTACCACCCACCTCACTTGTTGCCTACAAAAATAGAGTAATTGTTTGCATCTGTGTGTTTTTGTCTGTCTTAGAAATAACTGTTATAAATCAACGTGACAGAGCCGGCGAGCAGTTGAGGATTATATTTTCTTTTCTTATATGTTTTAGGGTTATTCCTGCGTTCTGTAGTGTAGGAAGGATTTAAAGGACATTGCAAGGCAGAAATTTCAGGATGATTGAAGTTGTTCTCTTTTCTTGAGGACACTTCAAGCCGTCAGATCC